CGTTATAATACAGAAACTATTGATATTTGTAGAAAAGGTATCAGTAGCAGGGGCCTGGCCAAAGTGCCTGTTCTGTTATTTACCAGCTAAAGATCTTCAGGCAAACTAATGTCCATTAAACAGGATTAAATTTTTTGCATTCCTCATAGGGTTGAGAATTTAATGAGTTATGGTATATAACCCACATAGCAAGCATTGAATAAATTTTAATGAATGTTATTATCCCTGTATGTCAGTAAGGTAGTATACTTTTATAAGTATATACTTTTATATATATACTTTTATAAGTATATACTTTTATAAGTATACTACCTTACTGACATACAGGGATAATAATATTCATACTTCGATCCTTACAAAGTACTATCTTTTAGAATACTACTTATATTCTTTTAGAATACTACTTATATTCTAAAAATTAAAGTTAAGAGTACCAGAATTACTTTGCAGTGAGTTGTCATCAGAGTATAATTTAATATTTCACTTGTCGGTGACCCAGTTCTAGTAATTAACATTAAGTGGGGTTTATAAAAAGATCAGTGGTAGATTTATATAACACAGCCATAAGGAAGATTTGAAACTCCTAGTGCTTTGTAGTGCTAAAACTCAATAGCTCATTAAAGCATATTAGCAAGTCCACATGTTTCTGAGGAGACTGTCGTGATCTGGGTGTCTATTACTCTATCAATGTTTACAACTCTATTTAGTGCATCTCTCTAGGCTATCATTTTATCTTTAAATCTCCCATACTGGGTACAATGTTGGCAGATAGACACTCAATAACTACATTTAGGGAGAACAAAAACAAGAAACAAAAACACTTCTGTAAAACAATGGCCCGATTATCAAAAATTCAATTTATTTACAACAAAACTATGCTTAAAGTGGTAAAATGTGTGCTTCCAATATTATTTGGTTTATGTTGTTACAGTGGAGATTAATTTTTCAAACTGTCTTTATTGTTGTTTTCTTCACTTGGCTTTTTTTTAAAAAAAGTTACTATGTATTTTATGAAAAATCATGTGCTAAGGAAAAAAATATGAAAATGAGACCTACCAATTTAGTTATTTAATGTTTTAAGTTTTATTTTTAATTGATGCATGATAATTCTACATGCTTATGAGGTAAAGAGTGATGCTTCCATATGTGTATAGCTTGCATAAAGATCAAATCAAGATATATAGCTTATCTATCACCTCAAACGCTTATTTCTTGGTGGTGAGAAAATTCAGAATCTTCTCCAGTTATTTTAAAATATAGAATATTGTTAGCTATCATTACTCTACTTTGTAATAGCACACCAGAATGTATTCCTCCTATATAGTTGTAATTTTGTATCCATTGAACAGTCTCTGCCCATCTTTTGCTTTTCCCCTGCCTTCCCCAGCCTCTGGTAACCACTATACTACTCTACTCCTATATCAACTATTTTAGATTCTGCAAATGAATCAGATATGTGGTATTTGTCTTTCTGTGGCTGGCTTATTTTACTTAGCATAATGCTCTCCAGTTCCATTTGTATTGCTTCAAATGACAGGATTTCATTGTTTGTAATATCTGAATAGTATTCCATTATATATATATATCACATTTTCTTTATCCATGCTTCCACTGATGGACATTTGAGTTGGGTACTCATCTTGGTTATTGTGTGTATAATGCTACAATAATCTTAGAAGCACAATTATCTCTTCAACATACTGATTTTATTTCCATTAGATAACTGCTCAGTAGTGGGATTGCTGGATCATATGGCAGTTCTACTTTTTATTTTTTTGAGGAAGCTCCATACTGTTTTACATAATAGCTGTACTAATGCCCACCAACAGAGAACAAGAGTTCCCCTTTGTCTGGATCTTTATAAGTAATTGTTAATTTTTTGGCTTTTGAATAATAGTCATTCTAATTGTGGTGAGGTGATATCTCATTGTGATTGTGATTTGGATTTTCCTAATGGTTGGTAATGTTGAGCATTTTTTCATATGCCTATTGGCTATTTGTATGGTACCAATTAAAGCTTTACATTTCATCAAAGTTAATTCTTAATTGTTTTAAATATTTTGTCAAAATAAAGTGGAAATGTGTTTAATCATGAGATTTGGGGAAAGGATAAATCTTGCCTTGCAATATACTAAAGACAGACATGTATTAATCAACAAAGTACCTTAAGAAAATAACTTCGTAAGACTTCATGTCTAAAACACCAAAAGCAACGGCAGCAAAAGCCAAAATTGACAAATGGGATCTCATTAAACTAAAGAGCTTCTGCACAGCAAAAGAAACTACCATCAGAGTGAACAGGCAACCTACAGAATGGGAGAAAATTTTTGCAATCTACTCATCTGACAAAGGGCTAATACCCAGAAACTACAAAGAACTCAAACAAATTTACAAGGAAAAAACAAACAACCCCATCAAAAAGTGGGCAAAGGATATGAACAGACAGTTCTTAAAAGAAGACATTCATACAGCCAACAGACACATGAAAAAATGCTCATCATCACTGGCCATCAGAGAAATGCAAATCAAAACCACAATGAGATACCATCTCACACCAGTTAGAATGGCAATCATTCAAAAGTCAGGAAACAACAGGTGCTGGAGAGGATGTGGAGAAAAAGGAACACTTTTACACTGTTGGTGGGATTGTAAACTAGTTCAACCATTATGGAAAACAGTATGGCGATTCCTCAAGGATCTAGAACTAGATGTACCATATGACCCAGCCATCCCATTACTGGGTATATACCCAAAGGATTCTAAATCATGCTGCTATAAAGACACATGCACACGTATGTTTATTGCAGCACTGTTCACAATAGCAAAGACTTGGAATCAACCCAAATGTCCATCAGTGACAGACTGGATTAAGAAAATGTGGCACATATACACCATGGAATACTATGCAGCCATAAAAAAGGCTGAGTTTGTGTCCTTTGTAGGGACATGGATGCAGCTGGAAACCATCATTCTTAGCAAACTATCACAAGAACAGAAAACCAAACACCGCATGTTCTCACTCATAGGTGGGAACTGAACCATGAGATCACTTGGACTCAGGAAGGGGAACATCACACACTGGGGCCTATCATGGGGAGGGGGGAGGGGTGAGGGATTGCATTGGGAGTTATACCTGATGTAAATGACGAGTTGATGGGTGCTGACGAGTTGATGGGTGCAGCACACCAACATGGCACAAGTATACATATGTAACAAACCTGCACGTTATGCACATGTACCCTAGAAATTAAAGTACAATAATAATAATAAATAAATAAATAAATAAATAAATAAATAAATAAATAAATAAAAAAGAAAAAGAAAAAAAAAGAAAAGAAAAGACAAAAGGACCTGTATTGTTTTGGAATAACACATAGGTGGTAAAACTGTAAAGAAAATAGAAAAAGAAATTTCCCAAAAATCAGGATCGTGATTGTTCAGAGAGAAGGTTGAGATGTGTGGTCAGAAAGAGTCATATAGGTGGCTTCCTCTGTGCTTCTAGTTTTCTTTTTCTTGACTGGACACTGGTTACACATTGTTCAAATTAAAATTATTCTTAAAATTATTCTGTAAAATTAAAATACAGGTTTGCTATTTTTTCTGACTTTTCTGTATGTTTATGTTTAACAATAAAATTAATTTTCAGAATTTAAGGTAAAATAAAAAAAAGAAAACAACTTCGTGCATATGGAAATAAGAAATTAAATCATAAATGTTAATTAATATAGCTATTAAAAAACAATGTGATTGGAAAAGAAAACATAAATTATGGCAGGGTATAGTGGCTGACTCCTGTAATTCCAGCACTTTGGGAGGCCGAGGAGGGAGGATCACTTTAGTCCCTGAGTTTGAGACTAGCCTAGGCAACACAGTGGGACCCTGTCTCTATAAAAATAAATAAATAAAAGATAGGTAGATGAATAAATAAATAAGATAACATAAAGCATAACAAAGCTCTCTTTTTTAATCTGTTTTTACTTTTTACCCTCTCTCATTAATGAATTGTCATTGAATTGTAAAGTCATCCCAGTGAGAAGATGATGATGTTGGTACACACTATACTGTATTTGTTGGGGCTCATAAAAAAGATACCCAAAAGTATGGCAACTTTGAACTAAAAGAGCAGCTTCAAGTTGTCTCTGACCCTTCCCCTCTCTGGAATCTCTTTCATTCCTGAAGTACCCCGTGTGGTATTCTCTAAAATTCTCTTATCTGATTAAGGGAAATTCCTCCAGAATAAGGGTCGTCTTTGACCCTCTCCCTGATCTACATTAACCAGACAAGATTAATTCCTGTTGCAGGAGAGAAGACTAAAAGTCTCCATGCCCACGTTACCATGCCCAGGTAGACTTTTCACTTATTTTTTTCAACTATTCTTCTAAGGTCTGCTACCTGAGAGCCTTTATCTGTATAATAAGAAAACTTTTATTTTCTATGACATTTCTCTCCCTTCGCTTTCCCATGTTAGCATCTCCACCTCCCTACCTATCCATCAGAGGTCCCTGTTTCTTTCTGTAGCTCACGGTGCTATTTTAAACTCCAGCCATCTGGACCTGAGTTTAATCTTTCACGTGGCTCTCGTGTACTTGCACATTAATAAACTTGTACACCTTTTTTCTTTAATCTGTCCATTGTTCATTTGTTCCATACCTTCATGAGATAGAAAAAAATCTTCCACCCCTACATATGTAAGCCTAGAACATATGACTATTAATGTGAAGATTGAGGTATAAGTAGATATTAGTGAAATTAAATATTTTATATAGAAAGCATTCATTTAAACATATGGTTTAATATATTTATTTTATTGCAAATAATACTAAATCATCAGAAAAAGTTCTACCATAGATAAATGAGGGTTGGAGACTGAATTATATCCCTCTAGAAAGGTAATTGGACTTATGTTTGCAATAACATCTTTGACTTGTGGATCCGTATTAGCCTACTAGGAGTGTCATAAGAGACTGGGTGGCTTAAGCATCAGAAATTTATTTTCTTACAGTTTTGGAGGCTGGAAGTCCAAGAGTAAAGTCCCAGCAGTGTTGGTTTCTGGGGCAGCCTCTATCCTTAGCTTGCCGTCGTAATATCTTTTTTTCTGTGTGCAGGCATCCTCGGTATCTCTTCCTCTTCTAAAAAGAACTTCAGCCATATTGAATTAGAGCACTGTCTTTATGATTTGATTTAATTTTAATTACCTCTTTAAAGGTCTAATCTGCAAATATTGTCACACGGTGGGCAAGGAATTCAATATATGAATTTTGGGAAAACACAATTCAATCCAAAATGTGTTTTACTTTCAGAACAATTCAGGAATGTGGATATGTAGAATAACATCTATTCTACATATTCCTGGTAATTCTACATATCCATAACTACCTGAATGGATACAGATAATTCTGAAAGCTTTTAGGAAATGTTAGCAGCAGAATAGATGAGAGCTCAAAGTGTCAAGATATTTTTACTTAAATTAAACATTTGTGAATTATAGTGTTGATCATAATTAATATAAGAACCATAGGAAAATAAACTTTTGTATAGGATATGCTCTGATAATTTTTACATATTATTCATAGATAGATAAACAGATAAACTGAACAGAGTCATACAAATGAAACAATTTGTAAATTTCCACAATAATTTGCTGTGAAGTTCAAAACATAAAAATAATATTATAGAATAATGTTATTGAAGGGTAGGGCCTACATTTAAAGAAAAATCAATTTCCATTAGATCTCCAGCCTGACATATGCTGAACATTTTATACATATATGTTGAATGAATTTGTTTATTAAAACAGTGTGGAGCAAATAAATATAATGTCTGTTTTTATGAAAAAAATGATTTATATAAAGTTTATCATTCTTGCTAACTTAATTAATTTAATAGAATTTAGTTTTTGCTCCAAATATCAAGGTCTACCAGGAATCGGTAAGATATGTTAGACCCACTCTCTATTTTCCAGGGGGTCATAGTATATATAGAGAGATACATTATTATGAAATAGTGAAATATTAAAATAAATCTTCAATGATGTCCTGAGGTTAAAAGAAAGCATAGAAGAATGAACAACTCACTAGACCTGGAGGTCTCTGAGAAGATTTCACAGAGGTTAACGATATATGAATAGACTGCAAAGTATAAGCAGGTAAGAGACTTAAGGATGTTCTCAGCAAAAAGAGAAATAAAATTAACTATTATGATGGTATAAAGAAGCATCCTGTGGAATAAAAAAGAAAACTCTTATTTATACTTATAAAAAGAATTAGTAGGAATTGGACAAGAGATGGCTCTGGATTAAAAGTCTGGAGTTAAGCTATAAAATACTTCAAATTTTAGCCTCTAGCATGGTATCAGGTACCAGCAAGCTTTTCCTGTGAAGGGTAAAATATTAAGCACCTTAAGTTTTGTAGAACGTAGCTCTCAGTCACAGCTACTTACCATTGAAGTGTAAACTACTCATAGACAGTACGTAAACAAAGGAATGTGGCTATGTTACTATAAAATGCTATTTACAAAAACAGCTATAGTTTTCCAAGCTCTGCTTTAGCAAGTGGATACAAAAGAATGGTCAACTTTTATTCAGAAACTATTATAAGAAAAATAAGTTGAAAATATTAATTTCATGTTTTAATTTGTCCTTTTGCAGACTTTCACTTTTCATTTTCACCTTCAAAGTCAAGCAGTAAATTATTTTTATTTCAAGGACGAGACAGTGATTATCTTGTCCAATAAAAAAGCAAATAAAGTCAGATACAGTGTCTCATACCTGTAATCCCTGCATTTTGGGGGGCTGAAGCAGGAGAGTCGCTTGATCCCAGAATTTGAGACTAGCCTAGGCAACATAGTGAGACCTCCATCTCTACAAAAAATTAGCCAAGCGTGGTGGCACTTTCCTGCGCTTGAGTCTAGAAGTTTGAGGCTAGCCTAGGCAACATAGTGAGACCTCTATCTCTACAAAAAATTAGCCAAGTGTGGTGGCACTTTCCTGTAGTCAGAGCTACTTGGGAGGCTGAAGCAGGAGGATCACTTCAGCCTTGGAAACTGAAGCCACAGTGAGCCGTGATGACACCACTGCATTCCAGCCTGGGCTGCAGAGTTCCTGCCTCAAAAAACAAAACAAAATAAAATAAAACTTAAGAAAAGTGTATAAGCTAAATTTCATTATTCTTTTTATCAAACCAAGACTTAAACTAGAAAAATGTGTAATAAATTCGGGGAAAAGAGAGAATTTGATCACACAAGAAGTAGAAAATAGAAAAGCTAGTCCTTCCTGTACTGGAGGATTGCATCAAGAATAATGGAGAGTTTCTGCCATGAAGTGCCATGGTGGTGGGGGTAGGGGGGTAGATAAAGAATAGTAGAGAGAACAGCAAAAGAGTTAGGTGCTCTGCATGTGTTCATCATACCTCTTTAGGATCCAGTATCACATAAGGGAGGAGTGTGCTAAACGCAGGAGTTACTGTGTACCACTAATATCAGGACTCTAGGTGGAGATCACTTTCTATGTTATTCCCCTACTCCACACCAGAAACTGGCCCCATCACAGTACAGTGCTACATACATCAGGGATAGTCAGAGTCCTGTTTGCACTCGCCGATTGCCTCTGTTCTCAGGTGCAGTGGATAGAACCTTCTGGCAGTGTGGAACCTTCTGGTGCTCCATAGAGAAAACTGAGAAACAAGAAGCAGAGAAAAATCATCTTCACTAGTGGAAGACATGAATGAAATAAAGAAGGAAGAGAAGACCACAAAACAACCAGAAAACAAATAACAAAATGGAAGGAGTACGTCCTTACTTATCAGTGATCAATGATAACATTGAATGTAAATAGACTAAACTCTCTAATCAAGAGACATAGACTGGTTAAATGGATGAAAAAACAAGACCATTCATCTGTTGTCCACAAGAAACACAGTTTACCAGTTTACCTATAAAAACACACATAGACTGAAATACAGGGATGGAAAAAGAGATTCCATTCCAATGGAAAACAAAAAAGAACAGAAGTCACTATACTTATATCAGACAAATTAGATTTGAAAACAAAAACTATAAGAAGAGACAAAGAAGGTCACTATATAATTATAAGGGGTCAATTCAGCAAATGATATAACAATTTTCAATATATATGCACCCAACACTGGAGCAACAAGACATATCAAGAAAGTATTATCATAGTTAAAAATACAAATAGGCCCCAATATAATAATATCTGAAAACTTCAACACCCAACTTTCAGCATTGGATGGATTTTCCAGACACAAAATCAATAAAGAAACGTGACTTAATCTGCACTGTAGATTAAATGTATCTAATAGATATTTACAGATCATTTCATCCAAGAGCTGAAAAATACACATTCTTTTCCTCAGCACATGTATCATTCTCAAGGACAGATCATGTATTAGGCCAGAAAACATAAAACATTCAAATGAATAATATCAAGAATCCGCTCTGACCACAATGGAATAAAACTAGAAATTAATAACATGAAGAATTTTGATAACTATACAATTACACGGAAATTAAACAATATGCTTCTTAATGAACAATAGGTCAATAAGGAAATTAAGAAAAAAATTGAAAAATTCCCCAAAACAAATTAAAATAGAAATACAACCTATCAAAGTCTATGAGATACAAGAAAAGCAATACTAAGAGGGAAGTTTATAGCTATAAGTGCCTGCATCAAAAAAGGGGAAAAATTTCAAATAAACAATCTAACAATGCATCTTAAGAACTACAAAAGCAAACCAAACCCAAAATTAGTAGAAGAAAAGAAATAATAAAGTTCAGAGAAGATATAAACAAAATTGAAATTAAAAAAATACTAAAAATCAATAAAAAATTGTTTTTTTGAAAATTTTAACAAAACTGAGAAATCTTTAGCTAATCTAAGAAAAAAGAGAGAAAATCCAAGTAAATAAAATCAGAAATAAAAAGGAGACATTACAACTGACACTGCAGAAATTCCAAGAATCATTAGTGACTGCTATGAGCAACTATAGTACCAATAAGTAAAAAGTCTAGAAGAAATGGACAAATTTCTAGATACATACAACTTACCAAGTTTAAAACAGGAAGAAATCCAAAACCTGAACCCACCCAAAACAAGTAGGTTGAAGCTGTAATATAAAGTCTCCCAGTAAATAAAAGCTTTGGTCCTAATGGCTTCACTGCTAAATTCTACCAAACATTTAAGGAAAAACCAATACCAATCCCACTCAAACTATTCCAAAAAATAGAGGAGGAGGAAATACTTCCACACTCATTCTATAAGACCAGTATTACTGTGATACCAAAACCAGACAAAGACACATCATAAAAAGAAAACAGCATGCCAATATCTCTGATTAATATTAATGCAAAAATCCTCAATGAAATATTATCAAACTGAATTAAACTATATGTTAGAAAGATCATTTGTCATGGCTAAGTGGGATTTATCCCTGTGATATGAGCATGGTTCAGCATACACAAATCAATCAATATGTTATATCATATCAACAGAATGAAGGGTAAAAAACATACGATCACGTCAATTGATGCTAAAAAAGCATTTGATAAAACTCAACAACCCTTCATGACAAAAACCAAAAATATTGGTGATAGCAGAAACATATCTCAACATAATAAAAGCTGTATATGACAGACTCACACAGCTAGTATTACACTAAAATGAGGGAAAACTGAAAGCCTTTCCTCTATAAGCTGGGACAGACAAGAATGCCCACAGTCACCACTGTTATTCAACATAGTGCTGGAAATCCTAGCTAGAGCAATCAGACAAGAGGAAGATATAAAGAGTGTCCAACTTGGAAAGGAATAGGTCAAAATATCCTTATTTCCAGATGACATTATCCTCTATTTTGAAAAACATAAAGACCCCACAAGAAACTATTAGAATTGATGAACAAATTCAGCAAAGCTGTAGCCTGTAACATCAACATACATAAATCAGTAGCATTTCTATATGCCAACACTGAACGATGTACAAAAAGAAATAAAAAATAGTCCCATTCACAATAGTCACACATAAAATACCTAGGAATTAACCCAAAAAGTGAATGATCTCTATAATGAAAACTGTAAGACACTGATGAAAGGAATTGAAGAGGACACCAAAAACATGAAAAAATATTCCATGTTCAGGGATTGGAAGAATCAGCGTTGTTAAAATATTCATACTACCCAAAACAATCTTCAGATTCAATGCAATCCCTTTTAAAATACCAATGACATTCTTCACATAAATAAAAATATTATATAATTTATATGAAACCACAAAAGACAGAGAATAGCCAAAGCTATCCTAAGCAAAATGAGCAAAATGAGAGGAATCATACTACCTGACTTCAAATTATACTATGGAGCTGTAATAACCAAAAGAACATGGTACTGGCATAAAAACAGACACATAGATCAATGCAACAGAATAGAAAACCCAGAAACAAATCCACACACCTACTATGAATTCATTTTCAATGAAAGTATCAAGAACACACACTGGGGAAAAGATAGCCTCTTCAATAAATGGTGCTAAGAAAACTGGAGATCCACATGCAGAACAACGAAACTAGAGCCCCATCTTTTGCCATATACAAAAAAAAAAAAAAAATCAAATCAAAGTAGATTAAAGACTTACATCTAAGACCTCAAACCATGAAACTACCAAAATAAAACTACCAAAATGAAACTCTCCACAACTGTCTGGGCAAAAATTTCTTGAGCAATACCCCACAAGCACAGGCAACGAAGGCAAAATGCACAAATGGCATCTCATCAAGTTAAAAAGTTTCTGCACAGTAAAGGATACAATCAAAAAAGTGAAGTGATAGCCCACAGAATAGGAGAAAATATTTGCAAACTGCCCATCTGACAAGAGATTAACTACCAGAATGTATAAGGAGCTCAAACAACTCCATAGGAAAAAAATCTAATAATCTGATCAAAAGATGGACAAAATATTTGAATAGACATTTCTCAAAAGAAGGCATACAAATGGCATAGAAATGAATAGATACTCAATGTCATTGATCATGAGAGAAAATGCAAATCAAAAATATAAGATATCATCTCATCCCAGTTAAAATGGCTTATATCCAAAAGATAGGCAATAATAAACACTGGCAGCATGTGGAGAAAATGAAACCCTTGTACACTGTTGGTAGAAATGTAAGTTAGTACAACCACTATGAAGAACAGTTTGAAAATTTCTCTAAAAACTGAGCTACCATAGTATCCAGCAATCCCAATGCGGGGTACACACCCCAAAGAAAGGACATCAGTATGTCGAAGAGATATCTGCACCTCCTATTTGTTGTGGCACTGTTTATAATAACTAAGGTTTAGAAGCAGCCTAACTGCCCATCAACAGATGTATGGATAAACAAAATGTGGTACTAATACATAATCGAGTGCTGTTCAGCCACACAAAAAAAATGAGATCCAGTCATTTACAACAACATGGATGGAAATGTAGATCATTAGGTTAAGTGAAAATATGCCAGACACAGAAAGACAAACATTGCATGTTCTCACTTATTTGTGGGATCTAAAAATCAACACAATTGAACTTATGGATGTAGAGAGTAGAAGGATGGTTACCAGAGGCTGGGAAGGGCAGTTGGGGTGTAGGGGAGATGGAGATAGTTAATAGGTACAAAATCATAGTTAGAAAGAATGAATAAGATCTTCTATTTGATAGCGCAACAGGGTGACTATAGTAAATAATAACTGTAGATATTAAAATAACTTAGAGTGTAATTGGATTGTTTGCAACTCAGTGGATAAATGCTTGAGGCGACAGATACCCCATTCTTCATAATGTGCTTCTTTCACATTGCATGCCTGTACAAAAATACCGCATATGTCCCATAAATATATACATGTACTATATACCCACAAAAATTAAAAATTAAATAGAAGAGAAAAATTAAGGCTGCCATGCAAGCAGACAATACATGATTCAAGTGGAGCACATGGCAGAAACTCTGAGACCTGTGCATGTGTCAGCTAAGGTAGAGCACCACTGGACACGTGGGAAGGTGCCAGGTAAGAGTTATACAGTTGCCAGGCGTGGTGGTTCACACCTGTAATCCTAGCACTTTGGGAGGCCGAGGCGGGTGGATCACAAGGTCAGGAGTTCGAGATCAGCCTGACCAACATGGTGAAACCCCATCTCTACTAAAAATACAAAAATCAGCCGAGTGTGGTGGCATGCACCTGTAATCCCACCTACTCAGGAGGCTGAGGCAGGAGAACTGCTTGAACCCAGGAGGCAGAGGTTGCAGTGAGCCGAGATCATGACACTGCACTCCAGCCTGGGCAACAGAGTGAGACTCTGTCACAACACACACACACACACACACACACACACACACATGCGCACGCACACGAAGAATTATACAGTCACCACAGCAGAGGCCACTGGGTCAGATAAACCATACCTACCTCCATAATATGAAACACCTCTATGGGAAGAATGTAGGGAAGGTGGACAGATATAAAGAACTAAAATTTAAGAGACAGATAATTTTTCCTTACAATAAACCTATTTAACAAACATGGAAAATAGACTCTCTAAATTATTACAAAAACTAAATTTTCAAAAGTCAACTAAAAACTAGTTTTGGTAAAGTGGCTTATAATACTGAATTACCAGCACATC